TATCAGTTTTTCACCTAAGCTTGGCATATAATTCCGGAAGAATTGAACAAATCCGATTAGTCTTTTAACTTGTTTTACAGTTTGCGGCATTTTAATTTTCTTAAGGAACGTCGAAATTTTCTCTTGTTCAGGTGATATTCCTGCTGGTGTAATTATATTACCAAGGAATTTCATTCGTTGTGTTCCTTTTTCACATTTGTTCGGTGATAATTTTAATCCCGATTTCCTTACACATTCGAAAATTTTTGAGAGGGTCGGTATTAGTTCATCAAAATTATTCACTGCACTTCCTATGTCATCCATGAACTGTGTACATAAGTCGGCTGCTAAGCATGGGTCAAGATAGTGCCGTATGAATGAACTAAAGCCCGTGACTGATTTGCTTAGACCTTGAGCTAGGCATTTGTATGCATAAGTTCGTGAACCGAAATTAAATGCCAAAAGTTGAACTGAAAGGTCATCTGCCATTTGCACACAGTGGTATGCTTGCGAACAATCAAATTTGGTAAACAAGCTCTTTCCTGCGAAGTGGTTTGATGCATCTGTCATGTTTGAGATCGGAAAGTTGCTGTTGATATAGTCATTCTTCAGTGAATGATTTATTCTTCTGAGGTCAATCAACATCCGCAATTTACCAGATGGTTTTCGATGTGCAAACAATGGACTGCTATATTTTGAATGTGACAATGTTGTTATAAGTCCATAATAGTGCATTAGGGCAAGTTCCACTGTCAATTCTTGTCGCAAATGTATCGGCGTAGGTGGGCCTTGTGTGTACAAAGGTCGTGTGTGTTCCGGTTTCAGTTTGATTTTGAGGTCGGAATTGTAACCAACATCAAATCTATGTTTGGCGAAGATGTCCGAAAATTCAACAAGCAAATCTTCTACTTTTGACCTTTGGTCATGTGTCAATACCGAGTTCTCCCACTTAAAATTCTTGATAAATGTCAATCGATCTTGAAAGTTCATTTTTGGTTCAATTTTTTCAAGACCTTGAAAATGAAGAATTTGGTCGTAAATGTCACGTTGGATTTGTGGAAGTAATACAGGGTTTTGACATGTTTCAGGAGTAGGAAACCAAAATTTTTCATACTCAGGTTGACGTTGCTGTTGAGACTGCTGATTATCACAATGTTGCTGAATTAGCTCGTTAATGCCCATTTCAATATCGTCTGGATTATTCATTTTTGCAAAAGCAAGCATTTCTGCATCAATTGGTATTAGATTTTCTGCTTCAGTTAGAGTCAGAATTGAAAATTTTCCAATTTCGGTTTTGAAAGGCAATGTAACATGATGATCAGTGATGTTAAAGGCTGTGATGTATAGCAGGTTATTTGTCAGAACTTCACTAATTGAGGAAGTGAATGCAATTTCGCAATTTTCTTCAAATTCTTTCGATGGCATTACGATTCCGGTTGTTTTTGCCATGTCCCGGCATGCGTCCTTTAAATGACATTCCACCAGAATGGTTTGATGCGGAGCTATTGTTTGACGTTTTGTTAGAATTAACGGGAATTTTTTCACTCGATTAATTCTTCTAGGCTCGTTTGGAGGTTTTATTTCGTTGATTTGCAGAGTCAAATCTGGAAAATGAAGTAAATTATACTTGGCACAGATATGAATGTGGTGTTTTTTGTAGAAAGGGTTTCCTAGAATTATTGAGTTGGCTGCATGTAGAACGAGAAAAGATTCTACAAATGTCATGTCTGCCAATTTAAATTCCAGTGTTACTTCTGTTTCAATTGGCACGAGTTGTCCTCCTGCCATTCTTACTCTCTTAAGTTTTGATTCACTTATTTTAAGAGGGCGGTATAAAGATTTTTCATCTTTTAAGTCGTCAAATGTCTGTTTTGAGATGACATTTGCGCAGGCTCCTGTATCAACCAGGGCTCTTCTTTGTAATCCCGATGAGAATCGTAATTTTGTGTACGTCAAAACTGTTCCTTCCGCAGGAATTACTGCGTAAAGGTTGATTATCTCATCAGGTGGAATTGACGGTTTTGATGATTTAGATGATTGAAATGATTTGGGGGACTGACTCGGTGGCTTGATTAGTTTTTTGGCTGATTCTGAAACGGAAATGATTGACCGTGTCCTTGTGGTTTTTGTCTCCACCAGCATTGGCTTGCCGTATGGTTGAATTTACCACAAATGTCACAGAATTTGGCTGATGCTCGAACCATTGGTTCGAAAGATCCAGATGGAAGTTGAATGTCAGCTTGCGCTGTCTGAGTTCCATTGAATTGATGTTGTTGTGGTTGCAGGTAGTTCGTTTTGCTGTACCTGTGCTGGTTGAATCTGCACCATCGACTGATTTTGCTGCATATTTGGGTACTGTTGGTATTGATACCATGGTGGATATTGCTGAGGTGCAATTGGTCCCATATTTTGGAAATTAGTCTGATTATTGTTAAATCCAAAATGATTTTGCCAGTTAGATCTGTTTTTTCCTTTCCTGCCACTTTGCTGCTGTCCAGGCCAATTATTTTGGTTTTGGTTACCACTGCACTGACTGTTTTGGTTTGCGTTGTTCTTGTTTTGATGAGAAGGCGGATTCAATTGTTTCTTTGACTGCTCAGTTATTTGTGATCTCATTTCGTTGATCTGCTTCTCAATTTGTTCCTGATTTGTGGACAATTTTGTGAGAGCACTGATCAAATTTTCTGAGACTCTGTCGTTTACTTCATTAAATCCGTCTTCCGGGTAGTCTTCGTTTCGGCAAACTTCTCGGATCATGATCTGCTTCTTCGTCAAATTACACAATTCTTGGACAGTAGTTGCTTGTGGTTGCTCCATCAATTTTGATCGCAGCCAGTTTGGCATTCCTTTTATGAACAATCGTTTAATTTGTTCATTGCGATTGTCATTTACTGCATCTATTCTTTCTTGTCGTTGTGCAGTTTCTCGGTGAAATCGCGCTGTGTCTGCTACTAATGGTGCTCCGTTTAATGCAACATCGATTGGGTCGACAGCTGGCAAATCTGGGGTTGGGTACGCTCGTTGCGCTTTATTTGTCAAGTTCACCAAGAAGTTCTCGGGTGAATCGATTTTAGGATCGTAACGTAGCTGTTCTAATTTCAGTACATGGATTTCTTGAAGCTGGGGATTGCAGAAATGATCCCTTAGGGCGCCAAGACTATTCTCTACGTTCGCTCGAATTGCTGCTGGCAGCGTTTGGTAGAATCGTAGTGCCGCTTCTCGTAGGTGTAGTTGCAAGAAGTTCGCTTGCTGACCAGGAGCGATTCCCGCAACTCCGATGTATCCTCGGAACAATTGCTCGAATTGCTGGAAGTCTTCTTTGTCCGTTCCACCGTATGGTGCGACCGAAATTTGCGCGTGTGCCATCTTATTACAGTTGAATGATTATCAGATTTGTGATACAGTTAATGATTGAGCACAGCACTTAGTCGATTTAAGGGGGGCACAAGAAAATTTTGCTAGACTTTCCTTATTTTGGATTATTGAACCTTTATGCATCTATTGCTATTCTGATTTTGGTTATTCTTTCCATCAGGGTTTGCTAATATTTCCGTTACTTCGCTTTTTTTGGTTGGGGAACTTATTAGTTACAATATCAATTTACTGCAAGTGAGTTTTGAGTTTGTTTTTAACTAACTGTTTTGACGTTGGAAACCTTTCATCTACTTCCTTTTCTGCCTCTTCAGTAGCTCACTTGACATACCATCTGACAGAAGTAGAGAAGCTGTAGGTCACAATCCACATGTCTGCTTGTAGATTGGAAAAAGTTGTCAGCTCAGGAGATGTTGAAAAGTTGTGGTTGTCTTCTTTTTTCTCCCTGTCTGTCAGTTGTTCACTGAGTTTTGCTCTGCTGCCAACATCTGAGCATTGCTGTGCTGATCAAGATGTTTTTTTTTTTTTTTTTTGTTCTGCTTTAGCAAAGTAGTGTTGTCACTTTCTGCTCAAATTATGATGTTTGGAATCGCCGATGACTGTTTTGAATCCAGAAGTTGAAATTCCCGCGAAAGTCACCATATAATATTCCGTATCTGGCGGATGGATAATACGGGTATACTGTCGTCTACTGTTATGCGAGCTGTTCAATTGGTAATGTTATTTAGCACTACTGGCTATCAATTGTATTTAGATTGGATTCATTATTTAGATATGTCTCGAGCGGTAACGACCTATCTTGCTTTAAAGGATGCTGGTTCCGATTCCTAGCTTCTGATATTTCGCAAGTCGATCGGCGCAAGTAAGGGCATGATTGGAATAGTTTATTAAGTTGATCTCTATTCAATTGATTCGTAGCTCGGTATAAATCTCCAATGATTGGTATTAATTACCATCAATGTTTACATAGTTAAATAAATATATGATGCAGCTCTATTTTAACATCAAGGTGAATTATGTAATCTATTCGGTTCAGATGGTTAATTAGAATGAATGACATCATGAAGGGATGATGTCACAATTATTTTGTCACGTTGAACATTGCTAAAAATATATTTACAGGGCTTAGTGAGTGTAAGCTCTTAGACCTGTATATTTTGAACTGACGGCAGCTACTTCAATTTGCAAGCACATAAAGCTTTTTATTTATGTTGTGCTCCGATCCGAGTGTTTGATCCCAGGGTTAGCATAAAGTTTAGCAAAATATTGCTATATATACTGTTTTGAGAGAGCGCGAGAAATCAAATTGTTCACCTGAAAAGTTCGGCAAGGTTTTTTTAAAAATCTTCCCACCGCCCTCGAGAACAACCTCGATCTGCCCATGATGTGCTTCTCTGGTTATAACATGAAAAAGGGGAATAGCCACTTATTATTTTAGGTAGTCAGAATTGGCGTGCGCGCGATTTTTTGATTTTGTTATATAATTTTTGGTTTGTCAATTCATTTGCTCGTTATAGTCATTCATTTTGCATCGCAAGTAGTGCGAAGCTCCGCTTCGCCTGTCTAAAAGTTGCCACCCAAATTGAAGGGTGTGCTTTTTGATGCTAGTTTATTTATAATAAAGGTGGTATTGCGATTCTATGTTTCAGACTAGAGCGCCTGGAACATCTGGCAGCCAAATTTGCAGTGAAAGCGAACAGTCAGGAGTCATGGAGTACTGGGAAGGAGGATGAGTTGAGTGGGGCAGTGACTGCGAGACAGTTGCATGAGGTGCGTGCTCTCAGGAGAAGACACGAGGCATTCGAGAGTGACCTCACAGCCCATCAGGACAGGGTGGAACAGATTGTGGCCATTGCTGAGGAACTGAAGTGAGTTTTACTGTTTTTTTTTAAAAAAAGAAACAGATTGAAGTATGCTTTTTTTTGTAAAAGAAAGAGTTACTGTAAAATAATAGAAACTGGAAGTAAGGTTGACATATAGCAGAAGCACTCAAGTTACTTTGGTTTGATCCTTTAAGCTGCGGTGTACATATTTTTTTTTGGCAGAGTGCAACAGATTGTGGAACGTTTGTAAAGAGATAGTGGAAAGTTTGTGATTTTTTTGACCTTTTCGCAGGTTTGTCGTATTTGGAAAAATCCGTTATTGAACACGTTTTGAAAGGTTTTGATTGAAAAAATGTTTTTTTTCTTTGGCGCGCCGTATTCCATCCTACCCAGTGCCTTTAGAAAGCTTGAAAATTATGACTTTCTCACAGTAGTTTCGAAGAGGGTGAGGAAGAGAAGAATGTTATTTTGATCTCAAATAGATTACAGGCACATCTATTTGGGATCAAAATAACATCCTCCTCTTCCCATGTCTTTCAAGTGTTTTGAGAGAGCTCGGTAAATCTTGTAATCCACTACCTCTTTTGTGGACTTTTCAGAACCGCGCCTTGATTCGAGTCATCTTACTACTTAGCTGTTTCTAGTGTTTTATGAAGCGAATTTTTCAGACAGAATATGTGTCTCAAGTTTGTTTAAAATATCGAAATTCGAAATTGGATGCAAAATTCTATCAAAATTGAAAGGTTGATCTTTTTTTTTAATAGTTATTTTAGTCCGAAGTTTGAGCAACTCTCGATAAGTTCTTATATAACCCTGTATTTTAGTGCTCTTGGCTACCATGACGCTCCGGCTATCAACCAGAGATGTCAGCGAATCTGTGACACGTGGGACCTGCTGGGGGAACTGAGTGGCAAACGGAGACACACTTTAGAGGTAAATGATCATTAGAGAACTGTAGATATAAAACTAATATTTTTTCTGCCCAAGCGGAGTGTATTGTCATACTACGAAAGAACCTAAGTCGCAAACAAAATTGCTGATTTCGTGGCATTTTTGGCAGGGGTGGATGTAGGATTTTGTCGAGGGGGGCGAATTTTCAAAAAAAAAAAGGAAAATGCTGCCGACCTTTTTTTAGGTCGACTAAATTGATTTGCCGAGCTCTCGCAAAGAATTATAAAGACCTTGTTTTTGGAGAATTTTTCTGCACCGCAGGCAGAATGTTGAATAAAATAAGCAAAAAAAGCGTTTTAGGCGGTTTTTGAAAATTTCTTTGGAAAAACAGGCCAAAAAAGCGTTTTAGGCGTTTTTGGAAAGTTTTAGCATTTTTTGGAAAATTTTCTAGAAAGTTTTAGGGTCCGTCAGCTAAAAGGGATATCTCAAAATATTACAAAGGGGGGACCCTTTGGGTCGACTGGAGGTCAAATCTCTGGGGGGGGGAGGCGTCCGCCCCCCTAAATGCGCAACTCTTATATAGGTCTTGCTGATATTTTCATTTTTTTTTTCAGGAAAAAGTTAAATATTGTTCACGCTCAACTTAGATTTTTCGCGGTTTGACTTGTGATTTAATTTTAATTTCAGTGCACTTCTGTTGTTAAAAGGAAGGCCAACTGCACTTTAGAACAGCAAAATTTTAAAGGCCACGAAAAATGTGATCGACTACTAATTTCAGCGAAACAAAAGTTTTACCTATTGATCCGGTTTTCTCAAATTGGGTTAGTTTTAACAAAGAAGTGTCTATCATAAATTGTTCTACGAATTCAAAGAGCTTTAAGGCAATCTATTTTTTTCGTCGAAATTTTCAGTAAGGCCAACAGAAATTTCTCAGTTTGATTTCTGATTTCTTTCTTCGGTTCATTTCCTTTGTTAAAAGGAAGGCGAACTCCACACTTCTTAGCGGAATGAAAACTTCACCTGTTGATCCAGTTTTCTCAAATTGAATTGTTTCTTGAAATTAAAATTGAAATTTTTCTTGAAATTAAAAAAGCTGCATGATCATATTTTTTTACTTAAGAATTCTAAATCTAGTATCAAGTATTTTTCAAAAAATTAGTCACTATTTTTTGTTAAACTGTGTTCATTGACTTCTTTCCAACTGTCTGTTGGCTATGCTCTCGCCTCTCTGCTAATAAGATCGATAATGATAATTATATTAATTAGAATGTTAATATAGCCAGCAAATCCATAAATAGTTAAAGCAGTTGTTTTGCTGGAGGTCCTCGTAATTTGATTTTCAAAAGCAATTTTGAGCAAAGTTTGATCACATTCATGAATGAAATGAGGCAATTAATAATTAATGTTTTTTTTTCAGGATTTGGAGAAAGCGATGGACAGAATTGATCAGTTGCACCTAGAATTCGCCAAGAGAATAGCAGTGAGTTTTTATCTTTGGTTTTGAATGATGATGTGAGTTTTCCCTTATTTGGATGTGTAGTTTTTTTCAGTGATAATTTAATTCGCTTATATGAAATGAATTCATGACTTATTTTAAGATCTATGTGTGAAAGAATGAATATACTTATACTTTCAAAAATGGATTGTTTGTCAGGTCTCGAGAAGAAAATTCTAATCGCTCCAGTTTTTGGTCCAGATTGCGTTACTTGTGAAACAACGCTGGTCATAAATCTTTTAGAAATTCAGAGAGCTTAAAGTGCATCTGTTTTTGTTTGAAATTCTTAAATTCGAAAGTTCAGATTTTTTCAACGAAGTCGAAGTTTTTTTTTTAAATGTTTACTTGCGTTCATTACTCTTTTCCAATCTTCGATTGGCTCTGTTTAAGTTCAATTCAAAATCAGTTGCTTAAAAGAAGGCAATTTACGCTCTCCAATAACAAAAGTTTAGACGGCGCAAAAAACATCAATGGCTTTTAGTTTGGATCGTGGATTTTAATTTTGGATTTCCTATCAAAATAAAAACGAATGAATCGCGAAATAATTTGCAACGTGATGTAATTCTTCGAAAAATCATTAAAAAAAATTCAACTGTTTTTTAGCTTCTTTGATTTTAATGACAGCGTTGAAACTTGAGCGAAGTGAAAACACTTATATTCGTTAGTTTTTTCTGAGAATGATCCAGTTTTGAATTGGTTAGTTTTAGAGTAATGAACTTACTGATTACTTGGCCTTGGTGTTTTTGGGATTTTTTTTCAGGAAAAAGTTTTAAACTTTGATCAGCTAAATTTTGATTTTTTTTGTGGTTTGGCTTTTGATTTCTCGTTCACTTCAGTTCCTTTTTAAAAGGAAGACAAACTCCACTATCGAACAGAAAAACTGTAAATGTCACGAAAAACGTGATCTACTTCTAATTTCGAAACTGGAGTTTGATTATCAGATTCCTCCGCGAAATATAATTTTTACTTATTGATCCAGTTTTCTGAAATTGGGTTTGTTTTATCAAAAAAGTGTCAATCAAGAATTGTTCTTAAAATCGAAAGTGCTTCAAGGCCAGCTTTTTTTCGAAATCCGTTTTTTCTCCTATGTTTCCTTGCGTTTTTTAGTTTTTTAACTGACAGGGGACTATGTTTTTTTTTACTGCAGGCGAAAGAAGTGAAATTGATTTATCGCGTGTCTTGTGTCGCGCAAATGCAAGTGTCTTGTAATCGGGAACTAGACTTTTTTGCCGTAAACAACTTTTCTCACATATTGTCAGCTTGATTTTTTAAATTGAATCTTAAGAACTTACAGGTTCCTTACCACTTTGCCTATCACGCCATTGCCTTTGCACCCTACGTTTGGTTTTCGAGTCCGTATGCAATAAAAAAATTTTTCCTTTAAAAATTGAATTGTCAGACTACCATTTGTGTTCAAACTTTTCCGCCTAGTTGCCACATCCCGGATTTTGCTTATACTAAACAATTTTCATTATAGCTGCAGGTGCAAGTGTTGCTCCTTAAAGTTTCAGGGGTGACTTGAAACTTATGAGATGTTTCTGTTAAATCTTTTGTGGTTCAACTTGTGTCTGCTCAAAAAGTTTCGGCTTAGTGTCGACATCAAGGATTTGCTTTGTGCTGTAAGCAATTTTCATTGTAGTTGCACGTGCAAGTGTTGTTCAATTTAGCTCTAACTTAATAGTAACTTACAACTTTTTTTTTCGGCTCCACCTGTATCTGTCTGTTCAAACGTCTGTTGTTTTTGCCTTGTATGAACTTTTATCGAAACATCCGAAAATTCAAATTTTGGTAGGCCTAGTTTTCAATCAAAAGTTTTCATTTTTGTTACTTATCTTTTTTGTGTTTAAGAGTAATGAACGTAGTGAGTATTCTTATATAGGTCTTGCTGATTATTTTTTGTTTATTTTTTCAGGAAAAAGTCTTAAAATTTGTTCACGCTCAATTTTGATTTTTCGCTGTTTGACTTGTGATTTCTTTTTAGATTCAGGGCATTTCTATTGTTAAAAGGAAGGCAAACTCCTATATCGGACAGAAAAAGTGTAAGGGTCTCGAAAAACGTGATCGACTTCTAATTTCGAAAAAGGAAATTAAATTCAGATTTCCCAGCGAAATCACAGTCTTACCTATTGATCCAGTGTTTTCAAATTGTGTTAGTTTTAACATAAAAGTGTCCATCATAAATTGTTGTACATTTTTCAATAGCTTTAAGGCCGTTTTTTTTTCTTCGAAATTCAAAAGTTGAAGCCCTGCTTCGCAGCTGTGTTATTAAATTCAATCTCTTAAAAGGATAATTTATCCTTCTAATTATAAGGAACAAATGACTTTAAAAAACGCAAATGGTGAAAGTTTTTGAAGTGGATTTTTTTTCAAAATTTTTTCAGTGGAATAAAACTTAAGTAATGATCCAGTTTTTTCAAATTAAGTTAATTTCGTGAAAAATCGTTCAATCTTAAAATATCCTTGAACTACAAAGTGCTACCAGAGAGCTTAGTTATAATTAGAATAAATAGAATAAGAAAGTTTTTAATTCCTTTCTTTTGTTTTGTTCATAAATACTTTGCCAACTGTGTGTTTGCTATTTGTTACCTATTTGAAGGGATTTGTGAACGGTTTTTGTTTTACAAATTTTTAAAATCAGTTATTGCACAACCAAATGCTTGTAATACGCGTTTTTTCGTCAACCTAGCTCTCATAAATTTGCTTCAAGTTATTAAAAGTCGATGAACGTAGTTCGGACTCTTATATAAGTCGCGATGATTTTTTTTGGGAAAAGTCTTCAAATTTGTTCAGGCTCAAATTTAATTTTCGCGGTTTAACTCATGATTTTTTTGTAATTCAGTTCGTTTCCTCTGTTCGATTGAAGCCAAACTCCACTATCGAACAGCGAAATAAAAATTTTACCTTTTGATCCAGTTTTATCAAATGGGGTCAATTTTGTCGATCTTAAGACTTGTATCTTAAACTGTTCTAGAAATTCAAAAAGCTTCAAGGGCATCTCTTTTGTCTTCGAAATTCATAATTTTTTTATAATTGCGTTCAATAACTCTTTTCTAAATCTGTTGGCCAGGTTTACTATTAGATGTGTCTACTCATTAGTCAGTTAAGACGTTTAGATCAGTCAAGAGTGCGAACATCATTAACATTGCGGAGTCCTGAAATCCCCGTGGGATTTGCGACTCGAATATCCCGTAGTTCCTTTTTTTTATTTTGAAAGATTATTTATATAATTGTTTTCTTGCCATTTTAAAAGCTCACTTGAGATTTTTGTTTGTTTGCGAACAGCAGTTTTGTGTTATTTTGGTTTATTTAAGGTTTTTGATATCTTTTGGATGTAGTGATTGAATCACTGACATTTTAATGATACTTCACTGCTATGATACTTCTCTGCTATGATACTGCTATGATACTGCTATGATACTTCACTTCATACTTTTTTGTATCATAAAATTTAAACTAACAATGACCTTATAGCCTGAAGTTAGTCGCCAAAACATTATTTCAATTTATATTTATAAAAAGCAGACACGCGATCTTCTAGAAATATTTTTTTTTCAGCCATTTTACAACTGGGTAGACAGTGCATGTGAGGACTTGACAGACATGTTCATAGTGCACACAGTGTCAGAGGTCACTGACCTATTACAGGCCAATGCCCACTTCAAACAGACACTGCCTGAGGCAGAGACAGAGTACAATGCCATATGTCAGCTGCAGTCTGAAGTGCAGAGATTCGCACAGGTAAGAGAGGAGGGAGGGGAAGGCGTCTATTTATAATGACAGCATTGTCAAAATGACGTAAATAGGAGGGGTTCTATTCATGCAGCAAGTCCAAATGACGCAAAAGTTTCAAACCAGTGAGCCTTACAATTGTCTGAAGGGTTAATTTTTTATTCTTAATTCTGATTTGTTATAAAAACCCCGTCTTTTTTGGGAGGTTTTGACGAGGGTCGTGCAATGTGTTGTGACGAGGTTGAACTCATGTTTCGTCCGTTAACTATATCCATACTTTGAAACAGTTACACTCAAATTCAATATAAGTGTTCTAGTATAAAAAGTAGAATTTTACTCCAGTATTACATAGCAGAATTGATCAAGAAAAGTTTCGAAAAGCATTTTTTTACGGTCTACTAGAGGTCATTGAAACTTTTTCAATTGTCAGTTAGCTACGTTCATACAATTTGGATTCGTTAGTTTAACAACAAAACATTTATTTCAAATTTTATTCACAGAATTTGATAGGCAGGTAACTGGTCTTTTGAATGTTTTTCTGATTTTATACTTCTCTTCGTTTTTCCTCTAAAAACAAATAATAAATAGATCGTAAGTCCAATTTTTGCTTCGCGTTTATTTGATTTCAAGGCCTTCGAATCCAAGAAAAGGGTGGAAAACCAGCGATCATGATGATCATGATCACCATGATTTTATTATATTATATATAGTCCCCACATGGCTGAAAACGAATGAACCGAATGACTTATAGTGTCTATTTGATTTCGATATATTGTGTAGAGTCACAACCTGGCGGGCCATGCAGTGTCCAATCCGTACACAGTGATCCAGCTGAGTGCTCTGAGTGGCAAGTGGAGTGACATGATGTCCCTGGTGCCCCTGAGGGACAGGAATCTACAGCACGAACTCAGTCGCCAGGAGAGTGAGTACAATTCTGGTATTTTCTGTTATAAGGCCCCTAATTTTGTTATTTGAGCTTCTGTTTTTATTGAGTATCCAGGTTTTCTTAAGGTGAAATAAATTTCAATCAATCAAACTCAGCAATATGATCCAGCAATATGATCCAGTTTCCAATATGATCCAGTTTCCAATATGATCCAGTTTCCAAAATATAAAAAGATCAGTTGACATTTTTTTTGTGCTCAGTCTTTGTTGCCTAGTGATTGCTAGCTGATCAAATGAAGTGACTGTTGGTATGGAGGTATGAATTCGGATAGTGTAGTCGCAAAATTTTAACTTTTTTTTGCAAAAATGATTTTTTTAAGACTTGATTTGATGTTTTTCTTTCAACTGATTTTAGAGCCTTTTGCGGCATTTTCACTTCTTTTTGGAAAGTGCGATTCTTTTTACTTCGTGGCTCACATCGAGTGATTTTTTTTTGAGAAAAAATAAACAAAAATTTTTAACATTTAAACAGAAATTGGCACGGTGAATCAAAATATAGCACTTAGAACATTGTTTCCTCGGAAGAAAAGGGGCGACTGTTAATAGCCGTTAGTTTTTGGTTCTCGACAACGACTGTGAACATTTCAGACAACGAGCGCCTGCGTCTCCAGTTCGCCCAGAAGGCCAACGGTGCCGGACCCTGGATTGAGAAGGCGATCGAGTCAGTGACTGCCGTCCACACTCAGATGACGGGCACTCTGGATTCACAACTGGCCAAGTTGAAGCAGCACCAGACTGCTGTCTATCAGTACCAGCCAAACATAGACCAGATGGAGAGTGTCAATCAGGTAGGATTCCTTAACAATCAGGGAGAATCCCTCATGCGCGAAGAACCGAATGCGCGAAAATGTTGTCAGCCAATCAGAATTCCTTATCCATAAATTCTGAAGAAATAAACGATAAAATCAGTCAGTTTTGGGTACTTCAAACGGCATTGATTGGTTGAAATTTTCGAGCGTTCGGCTCTTTGCGCATGAGAAAAGCTCTGAGTTACAGTTTTGTTAAAGCTGACATTTTTTTTTACACTGTATACAGCGCTGGTTTAATTTATTCGGGTAAACGAATGAAACGCTTTTTTATTTAAAACGCTTTTTTCTTAAATTGGCTTGACGGGTTGACATTAGACAAAAAAGGATGAATACAAAATTGCTTAGAATTCTAGCCGAATTAATACGGTGCAATTTGTTTTGTTAAGTTGAGGCATAAATTTTTTCCCTGAAACCGAATCATTTGAAGTTTTTCTAGTCAATTATAATTTACGCCAAAAAAAAACAATTTAATTGCATAACTATATGAAATTGACCATCTTATGTACCTAAACAAATTTCAATATATCTGGCTGTTTTTTGAAATGCATATTTTATTCATATTTTGGCTTCATATTTTCCAATATGTTACGTGCAATGTTATTTTGGATGCCTTTAGTTTAGTATATTCCAAATTATTTAGTGCAAAATTGTGTCTATTTGTATTTGGTATCTTTCTGCTACATGGCATTAGTAATTCGTTAGCATATTTAGTGGCTTTATTTGTGACTAATGTTGCTTTTTGTCGTTTTCCCGCCAGTGTTTGCAAAGCGCAGCTTTGCCCCTACGTATAATTTGTCAAGCTACAGAAAAGGCTCTTTTTTATATAGTTTTGTTGGCAATTGAACCGGCAATTTTGGCTTTTTTAAGCCAAAAATGATACTTTTTGCAGTAAAATAAGGCCCCAACATTGCGCCATATTAATTCTGCTAAAGTTCTTGGCAAAATTTGCATTCATCTGTTCGTATCAATTTTCAACACAGTTTGACTTGAACGCCTTCTGTTTGTTTTGTCCGGATTTTTTTGAATCAGAATCAGCACTACTCATTATAAGGCTTATTTGAATGATGAGGGCTCTAATTTTTTGGTAGAATAAGTTTTGAAGCGTTTTTTTATGCATACATTTTAATATATTCGATGAACGTATATATTCGATGAACGTAATCGTGGTGATTTTTTGCGTTTTTTTTTCATGAAAAGTCTTTAAAATTGTTCAGGCTCAAATTTACTCTTTTGCGATATGATTTTTCATTTGTTTTCAAGTTCAGTTCATTTAATTTATTAAAAGGAAGGCAAACTCCACTATCAAACGGCAAAAGTGTAAAGGTCGCGAAAAATGTGATCAACTTCTAACTTCGAAAATGGTTTTTAATGTGTAGATTTCCCAGCGTACAAAAAATTACCGATTGGTCTAGTTTGTTCTTGAAATTGAAAGACCTCTAAGGCCATATAATTTTTCTTTGAAATTCGAAAGCTGAGATTTTTTCAAAAAACAAGTCAATATTTTTTCTGTTTACTTGCGTTCATTGAATGTTTTCCAACTGTCTGTTTGCTCTGTTTAAAGAATTCTGGAAGTTTTCTTTTCAAAATATTTTTGAGCAAATCGTCAAAATTGGTGAGTTTTTTCCGTTTTGGACTGTATTTGATGAGAGACTGAAACATTCATTCAATTTTACTTTTTAGCTCAGTTTTAGATCAGTTGTTTTTTACCGTAGCTCAGCTATTGTTATCTCTCAAGCTATTTTTTTACAACCGAATTCGATCGCTTTGGTTTTTGAAATCGTTAAAGCAAAAAACCGGAAGTGATATTAAGTTATATTGGTATTGATGATTCTTTTGTTCGTCTTTTCTAGAATTTTCAGGGTTTTTTGCGTTTTGATTTTTCGCAGTTTGACTCTCTTTTAAGTTCATTCTTTTTCTTTGTCAAATGAAGCAGGGCGGATTTTGAGAAGTAGACGCAACCCCCGCCACCTCAGGGATTAATACATAAATCAGATAGTCAATAAATCTCGTTTGTTTTTACAATTTTTACTGTTGGCGTGTTAAAAAAATTGCTACAACCCTGATTATTTAACCAAGTTGAATGATTTTTTTTCTATTTCAGCAAATTCAAGAGAGCAGGGTCTATGACAACCCGCACACGCCCTACACCATGGAGGTCAGTTAGCAAATATTTTTCAAATTGTTATTTGAAATTTGGCAGATGGCGAAGTGAACGTTTTCAAAGACAATGGTTTGCTTAATGATTTCTCTCCCGTTTTATCTAAATGTTTTTAAAAATCTGCTGAGACGTTTGAGAACGAATCATTTGGTCAAAGGTCGAACTCTCAGGCTTAAGAGGATTGTATATTGTACAAAACATTGTATTTTTCTGACTGTAATCCTGAAAATAGTTTATTCTTATTACCACTAGTCATCGAATTTAAACTGGTTGTGTAACAAACTTGCAGGCTACTTGTGTAATTTTATGGCGGTATGTGCTGTATCATTCAAGGCTAATCAAATGTTTAATGAACCTGTTTTTAACTGTTTAACTCAAATTATCAAAAAATAATATGTTATTTTAACCTCCTGCAAATATCAGCTCGTCATTAACATACCAACATATCTTGGTATTATTTTGATTGAAAATAAAATTGTTAAGAATTTCTTTTTACCAGGGTCGAATTTCAAATTAATTGAAATGTAAATCTTTTTCCTTGCTTGTTGAAGTTTTTACCTTTATGCTTAACTTCGATTTGTCAAGTCATAACTAGAAAGAACTCCAGTCAAATCATAAAATTTAGAAACATAGTCTGATTTAAGAATTAATTGTATTTTTTTGTGAATTAAGTTTTTGTATATGTCGAAACCAAATAATGATTAAAAATTATATAGTGAAAGTTTTCAAATCAGTCCAAGGCAAAGATTCAAAAGTGAATTTGTCTCATAGGTTGGATGTAGTAGTTCGTTTTGCATTCCTAAGTCCAATAAATTTTTAGTTCTAACTCTGAAATTGAGAATCGACACAAGTGAGCTCCGCATTTCAATTTTGGCACGTCATGGTGTATTTTCATCTAGATTTCGGTCCCTGGTTTGTTCTTCCCACCTGTATTTTTCTCAATTTGTTCCGAGTTTGCCGAGCTATTAAAAACATCAAAACAGTTAATTGACTATTTGTTTTTTTTCTTTTCTAAGGCCTTCGTTTTGTCATTTGACCTTTACGCGACGGCAATGGAATAAAAATTTTAAGCTACTTGAGATCTTGAAATAATTTTTTGAAAGGTTGATCTATTAGCCTTGGTAACAGAGTGATAGCGTTACTTGAACGCTTCATATGCAAGTTATCTAGCGGTGTCATTTTTGACCTAAATTTTATGATTGAATCAATATGGCTCCAAACAACAGAAAATTGACCATTGGTTACAAGAATATCAGAACGCTAAGCAACTACTTAAGGCTATTCTGTTTAGTTTTTTACCGAGAATTTTATTACCGAGAAAAGTTCAGACTCTAGTATAGGTCGCGATGAGTTTTTTTTTAGAAGAAAGGTCTTAAATTTGTTAAGGCTTTTTTCTTAAAATTTGTTTAGGCGAAAAAAATTTACTTTCTCGCGATTTGAAGTTTGACTCTTTGTAAGTTCAGTTCATTTCCTTTGTTAAAAGGAAAGCAAATTCCACTATCGAACTGCAAAAAAGTAAAGTTCACGAAAAAGATAAAGGTCACGAAAGTGGAATGTTATTATCGAATTTCCAGCGTTATAAAAATATTTCCAATTGATCCAGTTTTCTCAAATTGTGTTAATTTTATCCAAAAAGAGTCAACATTAAATTGTTCTTGAATTTCTAGGAGCTTTAAGGTCATCTGTTTTCTATTTTGCTGTTCGAATAAGATTCTTTCACAAAAAACAAGTCAGTGTTTTGTTTTCTGTTTACTTGCGTTCATTGACTCTTTTCCAATTGTCTGTTGGCTATGTTTTATTCCTGTAAGTGTTAAATCTAACAACCTCTGGCTTTTTTTCTAAGTGTAAAAGATTGAAGCGATTTTCACGTACATGATTTGATGATTTTCTCGTTCGTTTTTTTTTCAGGAAAAACTGTTGTTTTCACTCGAATTTGGTTTTTAGTTGTGTAACTTTTGATGTCTTTTTAACTTATTATCAGTTCCTTTTTGTGAAATGAAGGCAAACTCCACTTGCTAACCGCAAAAGTGAAAAAAGTGCGAGTAACGTGAATGACATCTAGTTTCAAAAGTTATATCTTCAGACTTCCAGCGGAAAAAAAAACTTACATTAGTCCAGTTTTCTCAGATTGTATTAAGTTCATCAAAAAACGGTCAAAGTTTAATTGTTTTTGAAATTCAAAGAGCCTAATTTTGTTCTTTGAAATTCGATAGTTGAAGTTTTTCAAAAAAAATATTAAGTCAGTGTTCCTTGCGTTCATGATTTTTTCCCACGGTCTGTCGGCTATGTTTTTGCCTATTTTTTTTTGGATTGTAATGGTTTCGTTGTATTTTATATCGTCTTAGTTAACTAATTTTGTGTCATTTGATGTGAAAAAAAAACAGTTTTTTAATATTTTCGTATGTCCGGAGGGGGCGTAAATGTTTAAAATATCAAGCTTTATTGCTCAAATTGCTAATGACTGTTTTTTCCAGCTCATTGGTCGTTTAACAGTTTTTGTCGGCTTGAATTAAACGTAATTCGAGACAAGTATTGACACATACGAAGCGTAATGCGAGTTCGATGAAAATTTTTTCCAACTCAAGTTGCAAATAAAAATGCTTTTTTTTGGTGGCTCAAAAGTGCTTTGACATTTGATTTGTACTGAGTTAGCGGAGTTGATGCTTCTTTATTTAATTCACCAATTGAAGCGAAAACAGCTATTTCTTTCATACAATAGTACAATGATAATACCTGTTTTTCAGGAATTTTTCCAACTGTGTATTTCGCGAATTTTTGATTATTCAAATTTTGGCTCTAAAATTTACAATTTATTACATGGAAACTTTGTGCAATTGCTTTTAGCTTATTACAGTCCAAATTATTACATGCAAAGTTTGTGTTGTTTGAAGCTGCCGAAGCTTTTACTGCTTCTCGCTTGTGTTTGCGGTGTGGATTTTTTTAGTGATTTTTTTTGACTTTTGAATTCTAGCTTGCAATATTAATTTTGTGAGGTGCTGCAATCAGTGCGAAGTTCTGCATCACTTCTATAATGAACTATTTAATGAATTCTTAAGGTTCTTTAATTCAATGAACCAAGACAACGTGCGTGTTCCATTTCAGTTAATTTCAGGCAACAAAAATTTACCTAATGATCCAGTTTTCTCAAATTGAGTTTCTTCCATCAAAAGGTTTTTGTAGATATTTCTAGAAATTGAAAGAACTGTTAGGGGTAAGTTGTTCTATGATGCTCGAAAGTCGAAAGATAATTTCCATAAATGCAGTATTTTTTTTCGGTTTAGTTAAGTTTCCTTAAGATTCTCTTGGCTGTGCTTAAATTTTACTTGGCGTGGTTTAAATGATCTATCCAGTTAAAATTACTTCTTTCTGTTGTATCCGAAGTCAGATTGTTCATCTTCGTACGATGGGGTTTTCCCTTGATACCACGGTGTGTAGTCTGGCCACCAAGTAGTTCCAGGAGCCCAGGTTGTGTAATCTGGCCACCAAGTAGTTCCAGGAGCCCAGTTTGAGTAGTCGGGCCACCAAGTAGTTCCAGGAGCCCAGTTTGAGTAGTTGGGCCACCAAGTAGTTCCAGGAGCCCAGTTATAGTAGGTATCAGGCCACCAAGTAGTTCCAGGAGCCCAGTTTGAGTAGTCGGGCCACCAAGTAGTTCCAGGAGCCCAGTTTGAGTAGTCGGGCCACCAAGTAGTTCCAGGAGCCCAGTTTGAGTAGTCAGGCCACCAAGTAGTTCCAGGAGCCCAGTTTGAGTAGTCGGGCCACCAAGTAGTTCCAGGAGCCCAGTTTGAGTAGTCGGGCCACCAAGTAGTTCCAGGAGCCCAGTTTGAGTAGTCGGGCCACCAAGTAGTTCCAGGAGCCCAGTTATAGTAGGTATCAGGCCACCAAGTAGTTCCAGGAGCCCAGTTTGAGTAGTCGGGCCACCAAGTAGTTCCAGGAGCCCAGTTTGAGTAGTCGGGCCACCAAGTAGTTTCAGGAGCCCAGGTTGTATAGTCAGATTGATACCAGGACTTTTCGTCGATTAGCTCAAATATGGCCGCCCGTTTACGAGGCGAAATTTTCCGAGCAGAGCTATGAACTGTGAACACAATGCAAAGAACTAAAAGTGACAAAGCTAGAGTTCTCGTCATTATTGTGCGAGATTGAATTGTTTCGAAGTTTGTGATTATGAGGTCCTTTCAAGGGGGTTCCCTTTTATAGATGTTATCTTATCTACTTGTATTTAAGTATTAGATTAACGGATCTGAATAATTTGACTGAGTGGTGGTCTAATCTGCAATGAAAGTTGAATGTCCAGACAGTTTATCTATAATTAGGGAAAGTTATTTGTTTGGCGGTTTTTTGAAAGTTATTTGACGACAAGGTAGTAGGCAAACATCTTTCATCAGAGCGACCGTAGTTCGTGAATTTACAATCTGAAGATCTCCGTTTGACAACATCTCTTTTTGAAGTCATGCTAGCAAAGCTTGAGGATACCGAGTAGGATTTTATCGAAATCTTTAATCTCGCTTAAAAAATTTTGAAGTAAAACATGAAATGGAAATAGGACTATTTGGAAATAGTCATCGGGAACTAGATTTTTTTACCGTAAACAACTTCCCGTATAAATCTGTTAATCTTTATAAAACTGGCTTTATTAAGAAATAGTTATGAACGGAGTGAAGACTCTTATATAGGTCTTGCTGATTTTTTGTTTTTTTTTCAAGGAAAAGTCTTAAAATATTGATGCACTTAGGTATAATGCACTTTTTGAGTTCAATTGACACTCAGCTGCTGAAAGTGACGTAAATAGCCCTCTCCAAATACGAACGTGGAAATTGCGCAAAAAACGTAAACGATTTCTAATTTCGAAAGTGGAATTTATTTTTAAGATTTCTCAGCCGAATAAAAACTTTACCTATGGATCCAGTTTTCTCAAGTTGGGTTAATGTTATAAAAAAGCGCCAATTATAAATTGTTCTAGAATTTCTAAGAGCTTAAAGGGCATCTATTTTTTTGTAAAGGGTGTTTAAAGTTGAGATTTTTTCAAGAAAGTCAGTGTTGTTTTTGTTTACTTGCGTTCATTACTCTTTTTTTTTGATCTTCGATTGCCTATGTTTATTGAACTTGAACAGCTTCCATACTCCTCCTTTTTTGGTAGCTCGGTTGCCTTTACAAACTAAGGTTTGGGGTTTCAGTCCCGGCAGGATATTGTTTTTTTTCGGTGTATGAAATCGAAAAGCTTTTCAGGGAAAAGTGAATTGTCGGACTGTTATTTGCCTGCTTAGCTTTTTTCGGCTTAGTTTTGATATTTAGTTTCACCTTTAATATTTAGTTGCACCTTTACTGCTTATTGATAACATGTGCTTCGACATTCTAATAGTTATTAGTTAACACACGGATTTTCTTTTTTTTTCGCTTAAAACGTTTTATCGGTCAATATAGTTTCGGCTAATGTTTTTTTTTCAGCTTCGTCAACCTATTTTGTGTCGTTTGAGGGGCAAAATTTGGTTATTATTTTAAAAAGTATTTCATGTCGGTTGTATAAAAGTTCAGTTTTAGAACTTAATCACTTATCGTTTTTTTTGCTTTGGTTCAGTGGGCGTCTACTCACGTATTATTGGCTTAGTGGTCCCTTGGCTTATAATATTTAATGCTGGTGGTTGTGTTTTGTGACTGTTTTTCTGAAATTGAATTTTTCGTTTTCCATTGAATTTTTAAGAGTCATGAACGTAGTGATTACTCCTTTATAGGTCTTAGTGATTTTTTTCTTTTTTTTTCGGGAAAGAGCCTTAAAATTTGTTCAGGCACAATTTTCCTTGCGCAGTTTGATTTTTGATTTCAGTTCAAATCATCTCTTTTTTAGTTCATTTCAGTTCAGTTCATTTCTTTGACAAGCTCAGTTCATTTCTTTTATTAAAAGGAAGGCAAACTCGACTATCGAAAGTGTCAATCATAGTTTGTTCTTGAAGTTCAATAAGCTTTAAGTGAATCTATTTTTATGAAATTCGAAGGCTGACTTTTTTCTATTTCCTTGCGTTAATGACTCTTGTCCAAATGTCTATTGGCTATGTTCGTTCAATTTTTAAATTATATTTATCAAGTTATTTCCTCATTTATATTTTCTAGCCTGTAATTCCAAGCTTGTGTTGTATCACATTTGATACGAAGCCTCCCATCCCTTTGTTTTTTTGCCTATTACTAGTTTTGTGCTCGATTTTTTTTTCAGACTGAATTAAACCCAATGAACTGCCAGTCTAATTATTGTGGAGTTACAATTTTTTTTCTATTACAAATCTTGAGTTTTATCACGAGATTGCTTTTTTCCGATTTGACTCGCATAAGATAGTGGTCAATTTCAGTATATCATCTGACAAGATACAAGCCAGTTTGTGAGCGTAGTCTTATTAGATCTGTTCTTTAGTTCCAACGCAAGTCGCACCTTAAAGAGTAAATATTATGTTATTTGAACAGCATGTGTAATAATATCTGTTTTATTAAAGTATTTTCTTTGCTGCACGAATAAAAATATGCGTGACAGAAGAAGCGAAAAGGTCATGGTTTTGTTGAAAGCAAGGGACTTATGAGTGGGAGATCCTTGTTCGAATCTCGTGGTCTTCGATATTTTTATCGTTTCTTGAAGACCTTTTTCTGTATTTTCCAGCGTTTTCATGTTTTCACTTTTTCACAGTTTTTTTTGCCTTTTTAAGCTTTCATTTTGTGTCAAAGCCTGAAGTGACTTAATAGGTAATATAGTGAAGCTAACCTTTTCTGATTACGAAAGTAACAGAAAACTAGTCCACTGGTTTACTTGGACTAAATGAGGGAACTGAAGTTTCTCTTCTAGACTTCGGGTGTTTTTTTTTGAAAGTTTTAGCGATAGTCCTAAAGTTTGTGCATGCTAGCTGTTTTTGCGGTTAGACTTTTCTTTCATGTTCACAATCAAAATCGTTTGACAAATGGTATACTTGTTAAGAACTCTGGTAACAAAACTGCAAATGTCGTGAACAATTGTGTTGTCAGGATTTGTGTAGTTTTCAGATATCCAAGCTGAGTAACAAATAAGTGATGAATCAAGTATTTCAATTTAGTTCAGCTATATAAAACTATTCAACTCTGTCATGGAAATCAATGTTTTTCACATGGTATACAGAATTTGATAATAATAATAAGCGTCAATGAAAGTATTTGGTGGTACTTAATCACGATATGTAGCATTGGAAATTTCATAGCAGCTTTTCTCTGCTTTATTTGTGGATAGTGTTTGTGAATTCTTAAGCGTCCCTGACTGAGTGGTTAGAGCGTGACACTTTTAGTCTCCCTGTCGAAGGATCGAATCCGAAGGTTCGGATAGAATTTTTACTAATTTGAGGCTTATTTCAACTTTTTCTTATTTCACATTATAGATCCACTTTTTTGCGTCTTGCTATTGTTTGCAAAGCGCAGCTTCGCCTCTCTGTATTGATTGAAGTAGGTGTTTTTTCTTTTATGGCGCATGTGCTTTTTTGTGATTTAAGTTTTGGTTTCTTGTTCTAGTTCAATTCAAATTGTTAAACTGAAATCAATTTATGGTTTTCAGTAACGAAAAAACAAATGAAGCGAAAAAAACGTGAATCACTAAGTTTCAATACTGGTTTTTACTAATTTAATTGGTTCATTCAAATTGAGTTCGTCTATCAAAAAGGGCATCCATCATAAAATCTTTTTGAAATTTAATGCGCGTTAAATTAAAATATGTTTTTGTAATGCATTAAGAAAGTCAATTCATTGTTCGGTTTTGAGTTCATTGGAACTTTTTCAACTGCTTTTAAGCTATTTTACTAATTTTGCGAGCACTTTTTTGCTTGTCTGTGTCGGACAGTTCGAGTATCATAAGTGTAGTTAAGGTTTAATAAAGCATAACATAATTCTAAACTGTTGCTCTAAATTGTTGGTAGTTGCGTGAGAAAAAGTTGCGTTATTTTATCTGAAGCCTGGAGCTTATTCCTAAAAGAAGGAACCACAATAAACAAGGATAGCCGGTTGCTGTGTAAGTAGCACGAATATTTCCGACCTCATTAAAATTTTTATGAAAATTTTTGTTGCCAATGAATCGCTCAACTGAGCTTATAAAGCTAGTTTTCATTCAATAAAATCAAGTTTTGTTTGCTTTGCTCTAACTGGTTTTTCTACCAACTGTAAAATTTCCTACCAGTTTTTCTCGATACTGGGACATTTTTAAAATTTGAACCACGTCTACAGGGGGTTTTAATGTAAGAAAAAACTTGCCGCATTCCGGTGATTATATGCGTGAAAAACAAAAAAACTAATACATACCCGAATACAAAATTCCTCTCCAGTTTTAGTTTTCGAACAAAAACTGATAAATGCTTGGATCGGTAAGATCGACGAATTTAACGTACATTGATCAGTTAGCATTAAATTGACATTGCTTTTATGAGTCAATGAACGTAGTTCAGACTCTTATATGGGCCGCGATGATTTTTTTCCCTTTTTTCAGGCTCAAATTTATTTTTTTGCCGTTTGATTGATGATTTCGTTTTCAGTTCAGTTGATTTTTTTTTGTTAAAAAGAAGCCAAAATCCACTATCGAGAACTGTAAAAGTGTAAAGGTCACAAAAACGTGATCGACTTTTCGCAGCGAAACAATTTTTTTTTCTCATTGATCCAGTTTTCTCACATCGGTTTATTTTAATCAAAAAAAGTGTCAATCTTTATTGGTCCTAGAAATTCAAAGAGCTTTAAGGGCATCTATCTTCTTCTTCGAAATTCGAAAGTATTTTGTTTTCTGTTTCCTTGCGTTCATTGACTCTTTTTTTCAAACTCTCTGTTGGCTATGTTTTTACCCCCACCGCCAGTTTCTGTATTTTTCATAACCCAACATTTGTTTAGTTCTATTCTTTTTTAACACTTGCAGTTCAAGTTTTTGCTTTTTGAGTCGTAATTGATTTTCAGTTTTCGTTGTTTAGTCCTGACTAAACCATTGATTGAACTACTAATATCCTACACCCTTTCGGCAGCTCTAGAAACAAACAATTTTTGAAAAAGTTTGCAAAGAAATTTGTTTGCTCTATCTTTCTCTTTACCTATCTCTATCTCTCTCTCTCTCTCTCTCCCAGCAAAGAAGTTATTGATAGTAAATTGGCCTCTTTGGTTTGGCGACCCAAACCTCAGGGCTTCTGGCAAAGGACAAAATGAAAATTCAAAAAAAACTTGAATGAAAAATCAAAATTTTTGATATTTATAGGAGTAATGTTTATCTATCCATCAATCAAATAAAGCCAAGAGGCCTGATAGGTGCATGTCACTGTGAAGAACGAGTTTTGAATCCCGACACAATATTTTTCCAGGTGCGTTTTTAATATATATTTAACAGCTATTTATGATTGAGATCCTCAATTTTACTCAGTGCTGCGTTTATTAGGAGTCGATGAACGTAGTGAAAACTTTTATATATGTCCTAGTGATTTTTTTTTGGTTTTTTCTCAGGAAGTTGTTCACGCTGAAAAAAACATTTTTCGCGATTTGACTTTTGATTTCGTTTCACGTTCGCTTCATTTTCTTTGTTGAAGCGAAGGCAAACATCACTATCGAACAGCGAAAGAAGAAATGTCACGAAAAATGTGATTGAATTTTAATGAAATTTAGTTATCAGATTTTCGATTGTCAAAAAGTATCAATCATAATAGTGTCGATCATAAATCGATTTGGAAATCCAAAGAGTTTGAAGGCCATCTATTTGTTTTCTCTGAAGTTTGAAAGTTGAATTTTTACCATAAAACAAGTCTTTTTTCTCTTCGTCCATTTTTTTCCAACTGTTGGCTATGTTTATTTTCCTAAATAAGAAATCTTTGATAATTTTTTTTCATCACATTGATTATTTTGAAAATTAGGAAAATTTTATCTGTGGTGTTTCTCATGATTCATTTTGGTTCCGTGTTTGTTTGTAATCAATTTACACAAGCAATGCTTGTATTATACTAGAACTATCTTTTTTTCAACCTAAGTCGCAAATATTGTTGCGACGCAAATATTGTTGCGATAAAATGTGTTCATTTTCCAAGTGTTCATTTTAATCAACAAGACTGCTCGTATCAGGGCGAAGCTCTGAATGTTCCGACTGCCTTTTAATGTCTATTGAGCAGTAATAACATGAAACAAATTAAAAGTGAAAAAAAAATGAAACCAACCTTTTTTTTAAATTGAGATTTTTGTGAAAATCGTCCCCCCAACACACGCCATATAATGTACAAAGTGATAGATTTTGCTCCCATTATCAAATCAATTTGGCAAATTAGCTTCCTTTAGCCAATTTGGAACGATTTCTAAGACGGATTTAATGTCCGCTCGAAATATTTCGCGCGTTAATTGTCTCAAATTGGCCAACATGGCAATCTTTTAACCCCCATAACTTCGCGAAAAATTATCACTGCTGAAGTATCCTTCAAAATTTAAGCTCAAGACAAGAATACTTTTTGAATGACATAAAAAAATTCCGTCAAAAATGGCTAGTTAAAAAGTCGAATTTTGTCTGAAGAAAAATTAACCCATCCCGAGTACAAATATTCCGTTACTTTCGTTACGAAATCGGTTCATTAACCAGCTATTAAGCACAACCAATGCTAAGGATTTCAACACAGACTTTCAACACAGACGGAAAAGTATAGAAACGTGAAGAAAATTTTCTTTGATTTCATGGGTTGAAATCTAATAGTTTCAATATCTTTGTTTTAAAAAACGTGTCTGTAGAAACTTCAAATAGTTTAATATGGTACTGGCGGACCTCATAATCTATCTTTTGAAAGGGATACGAGAAGAAAAAAAGATTATATCCACTCAATGATGTAGATAAAACAGAAAACTGCAGGGTTACCACTTGGTCAGATTTTTTTGACCAGTCAGTAAGGGTCAGATTTGGTTAGTTTTTGGCCCGTGGTCAGAAAATGTCCGAATTTTAAAATTTGACGTATAAGTAACAAAAAGTAACGAAGTCCTGGAGAAAGAACTCAAAGAAATGGAAGAAGCTAAAGCGAAGCTTGCCGAAGCGAGAAACGGAAAACCCTGCTCGAACTGTCTAAAAGCGGCGCTGTGTTCAGACAGTTGCAGGACTCCAATGATGTCATTTTTTCAATGTGTAAATGAATTGTTCATTGAAGTTCAACGTTTGACGTTCAAAGCTTTTTTTTATACTTCTAGGTTTCGTATAAAAAAGGTCAGTTTTCTGGTGATTTTTGGTCAGATTTGTCATCTGAATAAAGTAGTAACCCTGGAAGACTGAAGTCTCTTATTAACCAGCTTGTAACAAGCATTTTTTTTTCATGAGGTTCGTTGCCTCAATTTTTCTTAGTGCGTTCGAGGCTCGGTTGCTTATAGTGAAATGCTTATAAAAAAACTTGTACGTGCACAGCAAAAGGCTATTCTCGTTAAATTTTTTCATTGAGTATAGATTAAGTTTACATGACACCATTAATACAGAAACAGTCGATAGTATCGCAATATTAAAGTCTAGACGTAGTTTTTATTATCTGAACGAGGGGCTTTCTCGGCATAGATTTGTTTCATTGCGCTGTAAATGTTCAACAACTGAACTTGAAGATCATCCTCTTCCACCGCGTCCAGGTCTTCCGCGTCCAGGTCTTCCGCGTCCAGGTCTTCCTCGTCCAGTTCTTCTTCCATTTCTACTTCTCGCCAACCGTTCGAAACTCCCCGGAGCCTCCTGCTCCAATTCAGAGAACACTTCCGAGCTGATCAGCTCGTCTGAAGTTCCAAGCTGTTGATTGAACGAGTCAACGAATGCGAATTGTGCTAGAACAAGTAGAATCAGTCCTGTTATTAAAAGTTTTCCCATTTTCAGCTGACTTGTCTCAATTTCGGGTGAATTAGTTATCGTTCTATCTCGGAGAATTATATTTATATCAATTTTTTTCTTGAAGAACAAATAAATTGTGCTCCATCTGTTTTCCTTCTTAGTTAGTGTCTACAAATTTTTCACCGACTTTTTTCATCTAAAGCTTGAGCAGTAAATAAAGGGTGTGATTTTTCAGAAACGTGTTAATTAGAGTTGACATACGGTTACGCAGATGAAAGGCAAAAGATCTCTGAGTTTCCCAGAATTGCCGCTTTCGCAAAAGCCAAAAACTGGCTTAATGAATTTGGATGTGATATTTAAAAGCGTCGTATAATTCACTCTGATAATTTCATAGATGATTACTCTGCGCTACCATGATTACTAAGGTCAGGACCCCCACTTGGCGCAAATGGACTTCTTCATAAACCCAACGCCCCTCGAATATTGGCCCCTCTATTTTTTTCTTGGGGGCCTGAATGGACTCTACCGGAATTGTTACACCACAACATTTATACCTAAGTTTAAGAAAAATATCCCATTTCTGATTGCTCCAAATAAAAAACTGGTTTGTCATCGCAAAAAATTTGTCGTCTGGATTAAATAATTTTTATGTTCCAGCACTGAAAAACACCTTTTTCATTCGAAATTGTCTAACAAACGGACCGCAATCCCCTACTGTAATTCTCGGTCCACGCGATTTACGGAATTCAGAGTAAGGACTTATGTTTTTTTGGCTCTGTCAGGGAAGTTAATTAATTTTACGTGGTCGAAGGAATTTTTAGTAAGGAGTCAATGAACGTAGATGAGAAGTGAAGATATAGAGCTTGATAGTTTTTTCGTTTATTTCTTAGTCAAAAGGAAGGCAAATTCACTATCGAACAGCAAAAGTGTAAATGTCACGTAAAGCGTGATGAACTTCTAGTTTCAAAAGGGGATAAAAATGTTCAAGATTTTTTAGCGGAATAAACAATTTACCTATTAGTTAAGAGTAATGAACGTAGTGAAGACTCTTATGTAGGTCTTGCCGATTTTTATTGTGTTGTTTTTCAGGAAAAAGTCCTAAAATATTGATTCACTTAGGTATACTTGCACTTTCTGAGTTCAATAAATAGCAATTCAATAAGTAGCCCTAACTTCAATAAATGGTTTTTTAATAGCTCTCTCGAAATACGAACGTGCAAATGACGCGAAAATTCATGAGTGAATTCTAGTTTGGAAGGAATTTTGTTTTTAAAATTCCAGCGGAATAAAAACTTTACCTGTTGATCCAGTTTTCTCAAGTTGGGTTAATGTTATCAAAAAAGTGCCAATCATAATTCGCTCTGGAAATTCAAAGAGTTTAAGGGTATCTATTTGTTTCTTTGAAGTTCGAAAGTTGAGATTTCAGCAAAGTGAGTGTTTTTTTAATATATTTACTTGGGTCCATTACTCTTTTCCAATCTTCGATTGGTTATGTTCAAGTAATCCAGTTTTCTCAAATTGGGTTGATTTTTCCAAAAAAGTACCAGTCATAGTTTTTTTCTTGAAATTCAAAGAGGATCAAGGGCATACATTTTTCTAGTTTGAAATTCGAAAGTTGAAGTGTTTTCAAAATAAATTAAGTTTTTTTTTTGTTTCCTTGCGTCCATTGACTCATTTCCAACTCTCTGTTGGCTATTTTTCTTAACTCTGAATAGAAAGAACCTTCATGGGAGAACTTGAACCCTTATATAATCTATGCAGAATTATGAAGATTGAGAAGAATTTTTCCCACATTCCAGGGGAAACTAGGCGTCATAATATCATGTGATACTGAGTGTTGTATTATTATTATGAAGCCTGTTTAAAATGATTTCCCATTAAGTGCTCAAAACGCCATATTTGACAACAAAGGTTCTTTGTAGCATTAAGTGAAAGCTCGAAAAATCAATTTTTTATTCTGCTTTTCAAATTAAGTCAGTTTGATTTGAAAAAAGTCCGATTTTCTCTAGTTAGCAGGCCAGATATTATGACTTAGTGAAGTGGTGATCATAGCAGACTCAGAAAATTGATGATATTTTTCTCAGTCTCTTGATCTTTTGTTATGATATTTTTCAGTCAACCAGCCCGGAGGCCTTAACCGGAAGGTAATTTATTTAAGGTTGAACAAGAACTCAATTAAACATTATGAGCCCATTAAGCTGGGGCTATAATGCAAGTGGTGACCTTGCAAATTTTAGCACAAGTGCGATTTGAACCCTCAATCATATGATTGCTGAGCATCATCACTACGGGATGCGCCGCAACGCTATTGCTATTGTGTTGTAGATGTTGCGTATCAGTTGGGAGCAGTTGGTGACTAGTGTGTCGAGGAGTGTGAATGAGTTGGAGAACCAGATCATGACCAGGGAGGCCAAGGGCATCACGGAGGCACAGTTGCAGGAGTTCAAAGCATGCTTCAACCACTTCGACAAGGTAGACACTTATTGAAAGAGTTGTAAAGACATATAAAACTAAAAAAGCACTAGATTGATTAGTGAATACTAATTAATTACATGAAATACTAATGATATAAATTAAAGCGAAGATGCTAAGTTATTTAGTCGAAGGCTCGCAAGAGTTCGAGGCACAATTCAATCACTTCGTTAAGGTAATTACAGTATATGTGAATTATAGACGCACAATTTAGATCACGTAGGCATACACTTTCATACTTTGTCTGGTGTCATCTGTGAAACACTTTCTGTGAAACAAGATAGGACCAGTTTACGAAATTTCCAATACTGTAAAAAGGATAATAGTTCAAGTTTAAGGAGCGTCGCTGCGTTAACAATCAATTGTGAATGTTCTGTTTTGATTGTTAAGAGTCGATGAACGTAGTTCAGACTCTAATATACGTCGCGATGATTTTTTTTGTTTTTTTTCCAGAAGTCTTGAAAATTCTTCAGTCTCAAATTTACTTTTACATGGTTCGACTTGTGATTACTTTTTACGGTCAGTGAATTTCTATTGTTAAAAGGAAGGAAAACTCTGTTATCGAACAGCGAAGGTTAAATGGTCACGAAAAACGTGATCGACTTCTAGTTTTGAAAATGGAATTTAGTTATGGAATTTCATATAAATTTTACCTATTGATCCGGTTTTCTCAAAATGGGTTAATTTTATCCAAAAAAGTGTCAATCATAAATTGCTCTAAAAATTCAAAAAGTTTGAAGACCATTTAATTTTTCTGTGAAATTCCAAAGGTTGAATTTTTTCAAAAAATGTACGTGTTTTTTCTTTTTAGTGACTCTACGTTTATTGACTCTTTTCCAGCTGTCTGTTGGCTATGTTTGTTTATTCAACCAGGCGTGTTCATTCCTTGTAGGTTTTGAGAGCTTTATATGGATTTGCCTGGCTGTGCTCCTATCAAATGCTGGTTACAAATGGTGCAAAAAAGTATGAAAAAAAAACATAATTTTTTCTACAAAATGTTGAAAATACATAATGAAGTATTTTAGGGCAGACTGTTAAGTGGACACTAGTCCCGTTGTCTGCACCCCCCCCCATCTGAGGTTCTTTTCATAAAATCATGTTGTTTGCTGTTATTTTTGCTGAAATTTCTTTTTTTCGAAATGATTTGGAGTAAAAAAAAGAGACAATCAATGGAAATGATAAAGAAAGAAAGAAGTTTATTTGTCCTTCTTTCTCATTCCCATTGATTTTTTTTCAAAATATGAGAAGTTAAACTTCTATTCAGTGTTGTTGTGTTTCAGAAGCGGTCTCTTCGTCTGCCCCAGAAGGACTTCAAATCGTGTCTCCTCAGTCTCGGATACAACATCGCCGACGACTTCCGAGTGAGTACATTAAACTTTAAATTTTACTTCAATCCTGCACTATTTTTTTTTGTAAATTGAGCAGATCCTACAGTGCTGATTCGGACAAAACGCCTTAAACTTGAAATTTAAACGCCAAAATTGATCCGTTTTGGGAGTAAAATTCTGGGCCCTAATTTCGCAAAACCACTTGCACCATATTAGCTCTGCTAAAAGCCTAAGCAAGTTTTGTCTTCATCCTTGTTCACCTAAATACTAGAGAATATGCTTAAAAGTTTGTTCCGTTTATTATCCGTTTATGCAAATAGTTCAATAGCTTTTCAACTTAATTCTGTCTGGCAAAAATCTGTGCGATTTGTTAAAAGGAAGGCAAACTACTATGAAAAACAAAATGTAAAGGTCACAAAAAATGTGAATCACTTAGAGTTTCAAAAATGGACTTTAATTTTCTGAATTCTCAGCGGAATATAAAAATTTAGCGTTTAATCCAGCTTTCTACTCCATGCACATTGCAGATTGATAAGGCGTTTATTCATAAGCCTGGTTTTCGATTTAGGCTGCAATATTGGTACCACGTGAAATTTCTATACGCAAAAAAAGCGGCCTTGAGTCGCATGCATAGCTTCGCTTAACTAATTAACTGTCTCGAATGTGGGGAAATTAGAGAAACTAGACTGTGTTGACAGGATGGATAGCCTTTCATAGATCCCCTGCGAATTGCGGAAACCACTTATGTTATTATTCTCTAAATGAGAGATTTTTAAGAAAAAAGGGCCAATCATACACAATTCTTGAAGTTCAAAGAGCTTTAACGTGGTATATTTTTTCTTAAACATTTTTTGATTTCCGTGAGTTCTTTTACACTTTTCCAGCTGTCTGTTGTCTATATTTACAGGTGAACTACAAATTGTTCCAAAAACAGACAGAATTAATAAAAAAGTGCAAATGACCGATTTGAAAACGAAATTGAACGTTAAAAATAATTTCTGGTACAATTTATGTATCCGTGTCGCTTTAAAATATAAATCTGTAACTTATTAAATTTTTATTTTAGAGCAATTATTGAGTTGAGTGAGAGAGGCATGCAAGTGTGTTTTAGGGCAATGAGGAGATGAAGCGCATCCTGAAGATAGTGGATCCGAATGGCTATGGGTACGTGACGTTCCAGGCCTTCCTGGACTTCATGACGAGGGAGACTGCACAAGTGGACACTGTTGAACAAGTGATCGAGGCATTCAGAGTACTCGCCAACGACAAAGTAAGCTATCTTCAAGAAGGACGATTAATACAAGTTGGATAAATAATGGGTGAACAAATTATAGGACATACATATAACGTAGACCCCTAATTAGTTGGGATGTTGTCTGTTAACACAAGCATAGCTTGTCTTATAGTATGAACTTTCTTTTTTTTTCCAACCTAAGTCGCAAATATTGTTGCGATGCAATTGTTGCGACAAAATTTGTTTATTTTGAAAGTGTTCATTTTGATCCAGCTATTAAGTACAGCCAATACTATGGATATTAACTCAAACTATTATATTACAAATATCACTTTGGCTTCAAGGTATCATGGTTCTGTAGCGTAGAGGTAGGGAAGGAGACCAGCAGCTAAATAAGAGGGTTCGAACCTGGGCGGGGTAAGATTTTTTAATAAACTTTTTCGTGTACGGCTGTTTTCCAGTCCCCCCTTTGATTTTTTCGGAAATTGAATATATGAAACTTAATTAAAATGACTTCTCACGTTATAAAATGCATTAAAACGTGTCAGCGTGAACCGGTAATCAAATTTTGACAAACTTTCTTTCATGCAAAATGCCATGTGAACAAGTTTTGAGCAGCTTTATTTCGAAACTTTACTAGAGGGGTGAGAAATTGGAAAAGAGCCTCGTATACTAGTTAAAATGCGTCCGTTTTATAAATTGAGGCATGTTGGTAAATTTCTTTTCAAATTGACTGGTTTATGCTAATGGTAATAATTGGCGTGTGTCACTTAAGAAATTTTGTAGACTCAAAGTTTTACTCATTCAGTTTTTTCCAGTAGCGTTGTCGGTCATATTTTTGCTTGTGTATGCGAAGTGGAACTTCGCTTCTGTGTAAGAGTAATGAACGCAGTGAGTACTCTTATTAGGTCTTGCTAACTTTTTGTTTTTTTGTTCAGTCAATTTTGGTTTTTCGCGGTTTGACTTGTGATTTCTTTCAACTGGTGTACTTTCTATTGTATAAAGGAAGGCAAACTCCACTATCGAACAGCGAAATTGTTAAGGTTGCGAAAAACGTGATCGGCTTCTACTTTTGAAAATGGAATTTAATTATCAGATTTCCCAGCCAAATAAAATTTTTACATATTGATCCAGTTTTCTCAAATTGGGTTTCCTTGCGTTCATTACTCTTTTCCAACTGTCAGTTGGCTTTGTTACTATATTTACACAAGCAGAGCTTGTGTTATAGTATGAAGTATTTTTTTTCCAACCTAAGTCGCAAATATTGTTGCGACGCAAATATTGTTGCGATAAAATGTGTTCCTTTTGAAAGTGTTGATTTTGATCAATAACCAGCTATTAAGTACAGCCAATGCTAAGGATTTTAACACAGACCTTTTTGTTAGGACTTTTGTAACGGAATAATTGTGCTCGAGGTGGTTTTTTTCTTCAGACAAATTCCGACTTTGTAACTAGCCATTTTTGACGGGATTGTTTAAATATCATTCAAAAGGTAGTGCTGTCCTGAGCTTAAATTTGGGAAGATATTTCACCTTTGATCAATTTTTATAAAGTTATGGGGGTTTAAAAATTGCCATTTTGGCCAATTTGGGACAAATAAAGCTCGATATATTTCGCGCTATTAACGCGTAAGCGGAGTTTTAATCCGTCTTAGAAATCGTTCTAAATTGGTTGAAGGAAGCTTATTCGCCATAATTAATTTGTTACTAGTAGCAAAATTTATCACTCTGTAGTTCATATGGCGTGTGGGGGGTTAATTTTAAAATGAAGTGTCCATCATAAATCGTTCTACAAATTCAAAGGGCTATAAGGTCATCTATTTCTTTCTTCGAAATTGAAAAGTTGAAGATTTTTGAAAAAACAAGCTTTTTTCAGTTTCCTTGAGTCCATTACTCTTTTCGAACTGTCAGTTGACTTTGAAACTATATTGAAATGAATGGCTATTGCATGTCTGTCTGAAATAGGCTTACCGATTAAAAGCATCCTCTTCGGTGCTAGAACGTCTGCAACCAAGTCGCTAATAAGTTTAGTTTTCTCGCAAAAGAATCATATTTTGAGTCGATGAACGTAGTTCAGACACTTATTTAGGCCGTGCTGATTTTTTTCTGGAAAAGGCTCAAATTTTCTTCTTCGTGGTATGACGATTTCTTTTTATGTTCAGCTCTTTTACTTCCCGTTGAAATCAAAAATTTACCTATTGATTTAATTTTCTCAAATTGGGTTAATGTTATCAAAAAAAAGCATTAATCATAAATTGTTCTGAAACATCGAAGAGCTCTTAGGCCATCTATTTTTTTTTTGTGCTTTTTTCGTTTACTTGGGCTTTTTCCGTTTAAGTTGGGCTTTTTCCGTTTACTTGCTTTAATTGACTCTTTTTCAGCTGTCTGTTGGCTAAGTTAATGATAAATGATGAAAAAATGAAGTTCAGTGTTTTTGGCTGTTTTTTTTTCACGGTAGATGGATTGCTCTTTGGCTGGATTATATACCACTGGGTGCTAATCCCATGCCGAAAGGACGGAATGCTGAAAGTGTTCTATCGATGAACGTAACCTGTAAACTTCAGGTTCGAAGAACACAAAGAAAGTACAAAATACTCTGGTCTCTCCATCATAAAGCTCAGTAATATTTAAAATATTTTAAAGATTCTAATTTTTCAGTGTTTTTCTTAGCCGTACATCATGCCGGATGAGTTGAGACGGGACTTGCCCCCGGTCCAGGCCGACTATTGCGCCCAAAGGATGCCCCCCTACCAGGGCAGAGGAGACGCACCTCAGGGGGCACTGGACTACGCCACCTTCACCTACTCACTATTCGCTCACAGGTGAACAGATAACAGCAGAGATAGATACAATAAGAACGGACCAATCAGATATGACTGCAAATAATGTTGACTGGAAAAAGAACCAATCAGAAAGGACTACGAATGATAAAGAAAAAAAAAGAAAAGTAAAAAGTCAAATCAGATGCGACTTTAAATAACAAAAAATGAGCGGACCAATCGCGAACAAGTATTTTTAGCTGAAATACCGAAAATTGACAAACGATAGATTGCATTGTTCGATAACTTTGCAAGATAATTGATGTAAACGAAAAGTGCAATTACTTAAAACTATTTTCAATAAACTGGCAATAATTGTGAAACTGTTAATTGTGCTATTAAAATTCGGTTTTGATCTTTAGTAGCTCGAATGATAGGCTGTTCTCAGCAATTGTATAGTGGCAATGGTTAAACAGGATTGTAAATGAATTTCACAATTAACTTACCTATCTGGGAACAGTTTTAGGGAGCAAACTACTTATTTGGGGTCTATTTTCATGAAAGAAAGACCGAATGCCTGAAAAAGTCTCAAAATATTAGCAAACATCAAAACTGACTTCAAAACTCCTAAAAAGTCCAAAATTGACTGATTTTTTTAGCGTTTATTTCTTTCGAATTTTAGAAAACTTTAGAGAATTTTGAGTTTTATTGACTTACGGGTTTGGGTCATTCTGGCATGAGCGACTGCACCTACTTATGTGCCTACTTTTGATTATGTGCCTTGCTTTCTGTTGTATTATCAATGCGCTTTCACTGATTTATAGATAGATGATTAATTAATTCAATTTGTAATACTGAGTATAAATGCTATAAATAATTTTGAAATACCTAATCATAACTAATCAATTCAATTTTTTTAAAATTATAGTATGTTTCATCTCTTGTATGAATATACTGGTAATATCTGTCATCCATCATTTAGTCGTTGTACCATGGGTTCAACGAGATTGTTAAAATACAAAATGTTTTTGCAATTCGGCAGCTCTAACTCACGAAAAAGTGTTAAAATACAAAATTTGTTTGCAATTCGGCAGCTAGCTCACGAACAAGTGGAACGAATTTAAAAATACAAAAAAAATAATTCAGAAAATTGCGATGACACTGATACAAAAAAAAACATTTTTTTGTCAAATTTGTTCCGATTTTGTGTGTGTGTGTGTGTATTGTGCTAAGAGGAAAAAGTTTAACGCTAATTAATCATAATTGACTACAGGTGTCTGCTAAACATGACTAACGAAAAAGATTTTTGCGAAAGTTTTTTCTATGGCTAGTTGGTTTTTCTTTATTAGTTTTAGAGTAAAATAAGTTTTTCTATGGCTCAGATAAAAGAATTTTGTGTTATGAATTTAACACCTACTCGTCAAATTTAACCAAAATTGATTTGTTTTTTTTTCCCGTAAAGAACTTTTTCACAGAATGAACTAAATAGTAATAGTTTTAGTAGCGCTATGTTAAGTGTAGTGTATAGTAGTTGCGTATTAGGCATGTGCTCTGGGTTCTTGGTAAGAGTTTTTCGGAGTTTTTATTCTGCACCGAATTTTTGGTAGTATTTCGAGGCTGAAAGAGTTCGGCTTTAATTTTTGCGCTTATTTTCAGAAAGTTTTTTTTCCGATTGATTTTCTTCGGTACTATGTGAGAGTGATCGATTTGTAAATTGAAATCATGGAAAAATTTTAAATCAAGTTCTCTTGATTTCAATGACTTGCAATCAAGACTCTTAAAAATTTATTGTCTTTGTTTTTCTCAGTTCAAGTATCACAGTTGGTTCAAACCTTCATTTTTGTTGTTAGTTTGATTGGTTGTTTTTATCGCTTTCTTTTTGGTGCAGACAAAATAGCTCATCAGTTTTGCTCATTCTTTGTTAAATTCAAGAGCTGAAAGGTCATCTATTTTTTTCTTTGAAATCCGAAAGTTGAGATTTTTCAATTGGTAAAAACTAATGAAATATTTAGGTTTTAGCTGTCATTAAAAAAACGTTCTATTTAATTTCCTTCCACTTCCTGATAGTATTGATAGGTTTTCGGACTCATTATTAAGAGAAATGAACGTGGTGAAAACTCTTCTATAAGTCTTTTTTTCTAATTTTTTTTAAGGAAAGTCATGTAATTTTGTACTTATTTATATATGAACTTTTTGAGTTCAATTTTAAATTATCTGCTGAAAGGGATTTAAATAGCACTCTCCAAATACAAACGTGGAAATGGCGCGAAAAAACGTGATTGATTTCTATTTCGAAAAAGGAATTTAATAATCAGATTTCCCAGCAAAATGTAAGCTTTATCTTTCAATCCAGTTTTCTCAAAATGGCTTAATCTTATCAAAATAGCGCCAATCATGAATCGTTCTAGAAATTCAAGAGCTGAAAGGTCATCTATTTTTTTTCTTTGAAATCCGAAAGTTGAGATTTTTCAATGGGTAAAAACTAATGAAAAATTTAGGTTTTAGCTGTCATTAAAAAAACGTTCTATTTAATTTCCTTCCACTTCCTGATAGTATTGATAGGTTTTCGGACTCATTATTAAGAGAAATGAACGTGGTGAAAACTTTTCTATAAGTCTTTTTTTTCTAATTTTTTTTAAGGAAAGTTATGTAATTTTGTACTTATTTATATATGAACTTTTTGAGTTCAATTTTAAATTATCTGCTGAAAGGGATTTAAATAGCACTCTCCAAATACAAACGTGGAAATGGCGCGAAAAAACGTGATTGATTTCTATTTCGAAAAAGGAATTTAATAATCAGATTTCCCAGCAAAATGTAAGCTTTATCTTTCAATCCAGTTTTCTCAAAATTGCTTAATCTTATCAAAATAGCGCCAATCATGAATCGTTCTAGAAATTCAAGAGCTGAAAGGTCATCTATTTTTTTTCTTTGAAATCCGAAAGTGGAGATTTTTCAATGGGTAAAAACTAATGAAAAATTTAGGTTTTAGCTGTCATTAAAAAAACGTTCTATTTAATTTCCTTCCACTTCCTGATAGTATTGATAGGTTTTCGGACTCATTATTAAGAGAAATGAACGTGGTGAAAACTTATCTATAAGTCTTTTTTTTCTAATTTTTTTTTAAGGAAAGTTATGTAATTTTGTACTTATTTATATATGAACTTTTTGAGTTCAATTTTAAATTATCTGCTGAAAGGGATTTAAATCGCACTCTCCGAATACAAACGTGGAAATGGCGCGAAAAAACGTGATTGATTTCTATTTCGAAAAAGGAATTCATCTATCAGGTTTCCCAGCAAAATTTAAGCTTTATCTTTTAATCCAGTTTTCTCAAAATGGCTTAATCTTATCAAAATAGCGCCAATCATGAATCGTTCTAGAAATTCAAGAGCTCAAAGGTCATCTGTTTTTTTTTTGAAATCCGAAAGTTGAGATTCTTCAATGGGTAAAAACTAATGAAATATTTAGGTTTTAGCTGTCATTAAAAAACGTTGTATTTATTATTCTTCCACTTCCTGATAGTATTGATAGGTTTTCGGACTCATTATTAAGAGAAATGAACGTGGTGAAAACTCTTCTATAAGTCTTTTTTTTTCTAATTTTTTTAAAGGAAAGTCATGTAATTTTGTACTTATTTATATATGAACTTTTTGAGTTCAATTTTAAATAATCTGCTGAAAGGGATTTAAATAGCACTCTCCAAATAAAAACGTGGAAATGGCGCGAAAAAACGTGATTGATTTCTATTTCGAAAAAGGAATTTAATAATCAGATTTCCCAGCAAAATGTAAGCTTCATCTTTCAATCCAGTTTTCTCAAAATGGCTTAATCTTATCAAAATAGCGCCAATCATGAATCGTTCTAGAAATTCAAGAGCTGAAAGGTGATCTATTTTTTTTCTTTGAAATCCGAAAGTTGAGATTTTTCAATGGGTAAAAACTAATGAAAAATTTAGGTTTTAGCTGTCATTAAAAAAACGTTCTATTTAATTTCCTTCCACTTCCTGATAGTATTGATAGGTTTTCGGACTCATTATTAAGAGAAATGAACGTGGTGAAAACTTTTCTATAAGTCTTTTTTTTCTAATATTTTTAAGGAAAGTTATGTAATTTTGTACTTATTTATATATGAACTTTTTGAGTTCAATTTTAAATTATCTGCTGAAAGGGATTTAAATAGCACTCTCCAAATACAAACGTGGAAATGGCGCGAAAAAACGTGATTGATTTCTATTTCGAAAAAGGAATTTAATAATCAGATTTCCCAGCAAAATGTAAGCTTTATCTTTCAATCCAGTTTTCTCAAAATGGCTTAATCTTATCAAAATAGCGCCAATCATGAATCGTTCTAAAAATTCAAGAGCTGAAAGGTCATCTATTTTTTTTCTTTGAAATCCGAAAGTTGAGATTTTTCAATGGGTAAAAACGGATGAAATATTTAGGTTTTAGCTGTCATTAAAAAAACGTTCTATTTAATTTCCTTCCACTTCCTGATAGAACGTGATTGATTTCTATTTCGAAAAAGGAATTTAATAATCAGATTTCCCAGCAAAATGTAAGCTTTATCTTTCAATCCAGTTTTCTCAAAATGGCTTAATCTTATCAAAATAGCGCCAATCATGAATCGTTCTAAAAATTCAAGAGCTGAAAGGTCATCTATTTTTTTTCTTTGAAATGCGAAAGTTGAGATTTTTCAATGGGTAAAAACGGATGAAATATTTAGGTTTTAGCTGTCATTAAAAAAACGTTCTATTTAATTTCCTTCCACTTCCTGATAGTATTGATAGGTTTTCGGACTCATTATTAAGAGAAGTGAACGTGGTGAAAACTCTTCTATAAGTCTTTTTTTTCTAATTTTTTATAAGGAAAGTCATGTAATTATGTACTTATTTATATATGAACTTTTTGAGTTCAATTTTAAATTATCTGCTGAAAGGGATTTAAATAGCACTCTCCAAATACAAACGTGGAGATGGCGCGAAAAAACCTGATTGATTTCTATTTCGGAAAAGGAATTTATCTATCAGATTTCCCAGCAAAATGTAAGCCTTATCTTTTAATCCAGTTTTCTCAAATTGGCTTAATCTTATCAAAATAGCGCCAATCATGAACCGTTCTAGAAATTCAAGAGCTGAAAGGTCATCTATTTTTTTCTTTCAAATCCGAAAGTTGAGATTTTTCAATGGGTAAAAACTAATGAAATATTTAGGTTTTAGCTGTCATTAAAAAAACGTTTCATTTAATTTCCTTCCTTTTCCTGATAGTATTGATAGGTTTTCGGACTCATTATTAAGAGAAACGAACGTGGTGAAAACTCTTCTATAAGTCTTTTTTTCTAATTTTTTTAAAGGAAAGTCATGTAATTTTGTACTTATTTATATATGAACTTTTTGAGTTCAATTTTAAATCATCTGCTGAAAGGGATTTAAATCGCACTCTCCAAATACAAACGTGGAAATGGCGCGAAAAAACGTGATTGATTTCTATTTCAAAAAAGGAATTTATCTATCAGATTTCCCAGCAAAATTTAAGCTTAACCTTTTAATCCAGTTTTCTCAAATTGGCCTAATCTTATCAAAAAAGAGCCAATCATGAATCGTTCTAGAAATTCAAGAGCTGAAAAGTCATCTATTTT